CAGCGTCGGTCTGTCTTTTCTGTTTTCCTCCCTCCCTTCTTCCCTCTCTCCTCTCCTTTCCTTTCCTTCCTTCCTTCCTTTCTTCCTCCCTTCCTCCCTTCCTTACTTTCTATTGACATATAACATTCAAGTGTGCAGCCAGATGAGTTTTCAGGAAGATGATATTCCCATGTAATTAGCATCCAGGTCTAGAAACACAGCATTGCCAGCACCACAGAACCCTCCTCATGCTACCTTCTGGTTACTAACCTCCAGTCAAGGATAATGATTCAAGTCAGTTTTATTGAGGAATAGATAACAAGGAAAATAACTGGAGACATATCCTGTAGAATGCCTTGTTGGCCATTTTCCATTGTCCTCCGAGTTATTCTTTTGAGGAATCCCTAAGATTCAGCTGAGTGATAACTGGGAAAAGAAGGATATCATATTAACACCTAATGGGGTGTTTGTGTTAGTCTCCTTAGTCTTTGTCCTGAAGCAGAGGTTGCACCCATGAGCACTGAGGACTGTTGCCCACAAGCTCAGCAAGACTCATCCCCACCCACCACTCTCAGACCAAGCCCTTCCTGATGATCCCTAACCAAAAATAATGTTTTTCATCTCCATCTGGGGGTAGGACCTGGAATAAGCTCTCATCTTGGTTCCTGGGGTGCTCGGGATTGGCCCAGCCACCCATGCCCAAGGAAGCGTTGTCTTTCTCCCCATTACCCAGTAGCTAGTCCAGTGCGAATGAGTACCCTCTTGCCCTGGTTTCCTTGACCTCTGTGGTCGCTGTAGTGGGACTAGATCTCTGCACTTCGCTGGGACCCACACTCCCCACCTGGATACTTTTCTAGTACAGGGAAAGAGCCACTGAGAGGTTGGGTGGATGACACTGCTGCCGCCCACATCCCTGACCTGTCCGCATGGCCCGGTCTGCAGGGCCTCCTGGGAAGACGGTGCTGGCCCTGCTGAAGCCACGTACCCTTCAATGGTGCCCCCCTCCCTGCTCAGCAAGGCCATCCTATTACCCTTCCTAGCTTCCCCTACATCCCATCGGGTCTGTTGATGAGTCCAGCATACCACTCAGCTTATGGCAAGATGGGTCTACATGTGAACAGTAATTCAAGTGATGTGGCTTTTCTAAAATGAAATGCGGGTGAGATCTGATAAAACATGAGTCAACTCTTCTCTTTTCTGTGATTCATGTGAAAAACGTTGAGCATTATACAATTGTGCTGCCACAGCAGCTCACTCCTCATTCACTGAAGTCTACCTTGTAGATCCCAAAAATATACCTCAGTGAGCAGCAGTGCCCCACTTTTATAATAATGATTGCAACAAGAAACCACTGAGATCTGTATAATGCCTTGCAGGTTGGTCTTCATCACTGTATTTGAGGTATCATAAGTGTACACACGTTTTAATGGTTCTGCTCTTGAGTTCAAATAAAATTACAGATAATTTCAAATGGCATTGAACTAGAATTGGGGTTGTTTCATTCAGAAGAAAGAAGGGTAAGGTTTTTATCTGGTAGTGTAATGTTCTTGGAATGAATATAATATTACAAATCATAGCTGTTTGCCCTCCATTTCTGCCAGTGTCAGAACAATGCAGTCTGAAACATGGCAAATACAGGTTACATGGAAGAGTATTTCCTGACCTCGATGTTGGATTTGATGACCTGAGTAAATTTGGATTTTCCGTAATTCCTTCTTTTTTTTTGAAAGACAGGACATTGCCTCCTTTTCTTACATAGTTTTTGCATGGTTTTGCTGCTGATATGAGCGTCTGCGTTATGGAGTGTCTCATGTTCTGGGAGGCCCCACGAGCTGCAGTCTGTCCTGAAGTGTCAGGCTGCCTGAGCTCTCCTGGGCTTGTAAGTCATTTTGATGGCTTTTTCAACTGTGGCTTTGTTCTCACCAGCTTTTATATCCTAGAGAATAGTCTCAACCTATTACTCATAATTACAGGTCCAAAACTGTTCTTAATTGGCATTCAGTTAACTAAAATACTCAGTGCTCCTTGGGGTCCTTTTGGCCTCTCAAAATGTTTCTGAAGATTGTGCAGGCAAAGGAAAATGATGTTTCCTATCACATAGTACAAGAGATATGTGTATAAAGTGTTCTCATGTTTTAGGAAAGGAAGATTTATCAAGCATTAAAAGCTGTGTGTGTAAAGTAAATTTGAAAAGGAAGGAAGGCAAGGAGGGAGAGAAGGAGGGAGGGGAGGGAGATAGAAAGGAAAGCAAAAGGAGGAAGGAAGCACAGCAAAGAGGACATGTGCTCTGCAGTCTGAAGGAACTGGGGTCTGATCCCAACTCTGATGCTAGCTGTATTTCTTTTTGCTTCAGCTTTCTCATCTACAAAATATGTACAATGCCACTTAACTGTGTGTGGTTGTTCTGAGAATGAAATGAGAAAATGCACAGTGACAGGCACATCATAGACACTCAACAAATGTCACCTCCTTTACCACTACCACCATTTTTGGAGTGTGACATTGAAGGGACTCTTATTTAAGGGACTTTCAACTTGACCATACAGCATTTAGCTTTCTGTTTAAAATGTGGCCTCTCTCAGAAACGGTATCATATATGTCAGCATTGCCTTTCGGAAAGGATGCTGCAAGGTCGCACCTGTCCCATTTGCGCAGATGCCTCCATGCTCACCATGAACAAAAAGCATAAACAAGTGGTCCTCAGAAATCAAATCTGGCTTTCCTTCCAACACGTCACAGGCACGGTAGAGATAGGTTTGGAGACGGGGGTCTCAGAATGCCTCTGCAGGGCAAAGGAATGAAGGAAGGGGGCTTGATCTTGATAGGAGCTGTGATGCCTGATTTCCTCAGGCTGGCTTGGCCCGCTCCTATGTCCCCTTCCCATAGTCTGATGTCCACAACATCTGGTTTCAATGCTTGAGACTTTGTGAACTGGATGGGTTATGGCCCCCGCCTCTTACTTCCTCTGCCTTTTTAACATGCAAACCTCTTTAGGAAATATAAAACCAAAGCGTTTCCCATTTCTAAAGCAGCATCCAGGCCTCATCTGGTAGCTGTTGGACCCAAAGAGACTTTATGAAGCCAAAAATTCAGACAGCCAGCTTACCAGAAGTCCCAGCTATTGAACATTCACTCTGGAAACTGAGCCGGGGCCCCTTCCAACAGGAGCATTCTCAGACTTTTATGTAACACTGATGCTTAGCAACTCTTAAAATTTGGTTGTGCTTGAGTCATGCAAACTAGAACGAGAGGCATTATTATGGTTGTGTGTTGCCTTCTGCCAGATAGCCTTCCCTAGGTAAATGTAATCGCAAAGCAGACTGAAGAATGGGGTGTATTCCTGAAAGCTGGTGCTTTTAGCTGAGTTCTGGGTTCTGGCTAGAAGCGAGAAGAGGTTTGATGGAAAGGACCTTAAGCAGGGGACAGGTTCCTGGCATGTTCGTTTTTCAGGTGAACTACATGTGCAAAGTGTGACACCACCTCCTCTGGCCTCAGTTTCTTTGCTGTAAAACGAGGCCTTTAACTTACCCCATCACTCAAGGCCAAGCTAGCTCAAGCTAATGCTGGAAATGTCTAGATAAAAAGCTCAAATGAGATGATAGGCCATTTGCTTCCAAAACCCTTAGAAAACCACAGGAAACATATTATACCATATTTCATTATGCATTCCCATCTGCATATGTTCTTAAAAACTTCTTTACACACTTTGAGAAAAATTCCATCGTGACTCCCTCCCCCATTCCAATTTAACTTCATGCCCTGCTCCTCTTCACGCCTCCACTCCCTTTAAATTGCCATTGCTTCTGGTGGAAATACCCTGCATCACCTTTCCACGGCAGTCAGGGTTACACTGCAGGAGTTTTGCGTTTGGCTCAGGCAGAGGGAGTTTGACAAGTTGTGAGTGTCCACTCTTCCAGAAAGAGCCAGCTAGCTGTTCACCACCCCTCCTCACCTTCTCTAGCCTCCCGCTTCCCAGGACGGGGTGTTCTGGGGAGGAAGAACACCTTGCTGCTTCCCCAATGCCCATTGTCTGTGGGGAGATCTCAGGAAGGACCCCCACACTTGCCCGAGCCCTCTGATATCACCAGAAGTGCTCGGAACACAGCCCTAACTGCAGTCCCCTCTCACAGGCTACCTCAATACATTTACGCAGCCACTACATCAGTCAGCCTAAGCATTCAAGATTTCATTGGCTTTGGAACCTGACATTTCATTTGGGATGAGCTTTATAAACCAGGGAAAACCCTGTTAGGATGAGCATAGTCCAAGAGAAAGAAGCAGGTGGGTTACAGGTATGAGCATCTAAAAGGTGGAGTTATACTGGAGCTACTGGGAGCTTATGGACCTGCCTGGGAGCTGTCAGAAGCCATCATCTCTATGGGCTGCCATGTAAAGTTGGAACTGGGTTTCCTTATCACTGTTTACCAAGTAGCTGCCGGGGTCACCCCCTGTCCTGAAGGAGGAGCTCCTTTTTCCCCGTGAAGCCTCATGACCCCCGGCATATGGTGTACTAGCAGGGAGACTGGAGCATGGTAGGTTTTCTCTTGCTGAGAAGCCTTTCAAGCTGTGGGGAGAAGAGTGTACTACAGGAGCGGGCCACAGAACCAGCCCTGTAGGGCCTTAAGATCTCATTTTGTCTTGGTCCAGCTGTTGTTAATTGGGGTTTTACATGATGATGGTGAGTCTTCCTTGACCAAATAAGGCCAGGAAATGCTGGAATGTACAGAGCTAATCAGGTGAGTTAATTTGAGAATAATGTTTCAGAGCCTGTAATATATCAGAGGCAGACAGAAATTCCCTAGTAGCATGAGCTCTGAAGCCTTTTTTTCTTGCTGTTCCGTGAACAGATCTAGGAAATACCAGGCCATTCCTGGTATCAGAATTAAATGTATACCCAGCATACTTGCGTAGTTTCTTATCTTGCCTTACAGCAAACCCAGAGACGGATACCCATCTTAACACAATCTCATTCATACTCTGCGACTGTGCAGTTTGGTGATTAATGCTGCTTTCCCCCACAGAACATTGATATCACCAATTTCAGCAGCAGCTGGAGTGATGGCTTGGCCTTCTGTGCTCTCCTCCACACCTACTTGCCTGCTCACATCCCGTACCAGGAGCTGAACAGTCAGGAGAAAGTAAGTCCCTGCCCGTCGCCCTGGTTATCCTTAGGAGGTAACATGCAAGAGGAATCCCTTATATGAATATGTACCACTGGGTGTGGGGTTTATAGACTTGAAGTGGAAACTAGGATTTGATACCTGACACAGATAACTGCTGAGTGTAACTACATTATAGAATCCCACCCTCAGTAAATACTTCTTAGTTTCCCTTCTTGATATAGACCCCTTGTTACCCATTTTCCAGAGAAAGTCCTGATGGAATCTCACCTTGGCCACCTTTTTTCAAAGTCTTTTCCAAAGAACCACAAACTTCACCAAAGAGTTCCCTGCTCAAATAAGCTTGGGAAATGGTACATCATATTGGGAAATGGAATCACATTTTTAGAGATTCACAGTGCTCATTAGCATAGTATACATTTCAAGTCCTTCATTAAAGAAACCTGTGTGACTCCATTTAAGCCAATATATATCAGATCCACAAAACCTTTTACTTCTAACTACCTATAAGAAGAATTGGCAAACTTTTGCTTTTAAGGGCCAAATGGTAGACTCTGTGGGTCTCTGTCACAGCTGCTTAACTCAACCACTGGAGTGCCCAAGTGGCCATAGGTGATGGGCGCATACTGTGTTCCAATAAAACTTTATTTATAAAAACAGGCTGCAAGCCACATGTGGCCCCCGGGCTGTAGTTTGCCAAAGGCTGACCTAGAATATCCTACAAAATCATATTCCATAGAGTGTACTTTAGAAAATACACTCATTCACTCAACAAACATTTCTTGCCAAGCATTATGCACAGTAATAAAGACAGCAATGAACAATGGGGACATGTTCTTTGCCCTCATGAGGTAGACAGACAATCAACAAGTGAGTGAACCTACATGTAATATTATAAATAAATAATTATAAACTGTGGGAGGGCTGTGAGAGTGAACAATAAGGGATCCAGCTGAGATCAAAAAGGCTGAGAAGGTCTTTCTGAGGAGGCACTATTCAAGCTGATGCCTGAAGAAAGAATATGAAGGAGCCAGCAAAGCAAAGGGCTCAGGGGACCTTTCCAAGGTGAGAGAGCAGCCAGAGCAAGAAAACACCTTGGTGCAGCCAAAGCAATAGAAGCAGTCCAGCTGACTGGAGTGAAGTGATGAGGGCAGGGTGGCCTGTTGTGATGCTGGGGGCCAGACCCTGCAGGCCTTCCACAGGGATGCTGTTTAGAAGTTTACATTTTCCTCCAAGCACAGAGGGATGTCACTGAAGGAGTATAAACAATGGAGAGGCATTATTCATGGTTTTAAACAATCTCTCTGGCTGTTCCATGAGAAAATGAATTGGAAAAGGAACAAGAATGATGAGGAGCTACCAGTTGGGAAGCTGTTAAGGTCGATGTGAGAGCTCAGTTTCCCTGGCATCATCCATTAGCTGGGACTAGGGTGGTAGCTGGAAAGATGGAAGGGGATTTGAAATACATCTTAGATATAGAATCAAATGGACGTAGTGACTGGTTGGTTGTAGGGGAGGGAAGAGGAAAGAGTCAAAGACGACCCTGGGTGTCCAGCTTGACAGGACCAGTTTCTGAGATGGGGAAGGAATAGATGTGTTTAAAAGTTCTATTTTGATTATCGCATATTAAGATATAAAATTCAAAGAATGGTTATGGCACTGATGAGAATAACTGAACAAACAAAATGATTTAGTTTTTTAGAGTATGTATTAATCAGGGTTCTCCCAAGAAACAAAAAAAAGTAGGGTGTGTGTGTGTGTGTGTGGAGAGAGAGAGAGAGAGAGATTTATATTAAGAAATTAGCTCACACAATTGTGGAGACTAACAAATCTAAAATTTGCAGGGAAGGTTGGCAGTCTGGAGACACAAGAAAGAGCTGATTGATACAGTTCGAGTCTGAAAGCAGTTTGCTGCCATAATTCCCTCTTCTTGGGGAGAAATCAGTCTTTTTTTATTAAGGTCGTCAATTGATTGGGCGAGGCCCACCCACATTATGGAGGGTAATTTGCTCTACCCGAAGTCTACTGACTTAACCGTTAATCTCATCTTAAAAACACCTTCACAGAGACATCTAGAATAACATCTGGCCAAATATCTGGGTGCTGTGGCCTAGCCAAGTTGACACTTAAAATTAGCCATCACAGAGTATTAAACTTTCAGAGCACTTTTTTGTTGTGGTGCTTTGTTTGTAATCTGTGAAGCAGGCCGGACAGTGTTACTAAACATTTGGAAAACAACAAACCAAGAAGTTCTGTTTTGAATCATGTTAAGTCTGAGATGTCCATGAAGCGTGCTGGTGGCAACATTAAGCAAGTAATTGGATAGCAAGTTTGGAATTCAAAAGGGAGTTCAGTGCTGGAAATACATATTTGGGGGTCATCAGTGAATGATTAACACTAATTGAACTTTTGGAAATGTTTTATATCTGTGCTGTCTGATATGGTAGCTACTAGCCACATAGGCTGTTAAGCACATGGAATGTGGCTAATGTGACTGAAATTTTTATTACTTTTAATTTTTATGGCCATATGGCTACTGTATGGGACAGGACATATGTAAATTGTATTTAAAGCTATGGTGTGCCCTGGAACTTTTGCTGAGCTGTCCCAGGCCTGGTACTGGTGGCAGCTGGTCTCAGTTCACAGTGTGGCCTCTCCCACATTCCTCCAGGTCCAGCACAGGCAGTGACTAACTGTGGATCACTTGGTAGCTCCTATCAGCCCCAGGCCAGTAACATGCAGTGGGTGACCTTAGCCTGCATGGGAGCTCCCCGCCCCCACAAAAGGCCCCAGAACCAACACACCCAGTAGCCAGCTTCAGACCACAACAAAGGACCACCTGATTAGCCCAACAAGGAACACACTCAAAGGGTGGTCTCAGCAGTCACAAGAGCCCACTGGGACAAACCCTGCTCCATGGGTCAACACCCATACAGCAGTCCATAAGCTGTGGCCATGGCCAATCCTCACAGCCAGTCAGCCTGAGGGTCAATCCCACTCACTCAGGTGCCAACAGCAATCAAGGCTCAACTACAACAGGAGGACACACACAACCCACACAAGGGACATTCCTGGAGCACCTGGCCCAGGTGATCAGGGAGACTGCCACTGGGCCCCACAGGACCCCACTATATAAGGCCACTCAGCAACACTGGGAGACATAGCAGCCAGTCCTACCTAATACATAGAAACAAACACAGAGAGGCAGCCAAAATGAGGAGACAAAGAAACATGTCCCAAATTAAAGAACAGGAGAAAACTCCAGAAAAAGAACTAAACAAAATGGAGGCAAGCAATCTACCAGATATAGAGTTCAAAACACTGGTTATAAGGATGCTTGAGGACCTCAGAGAGAACTTCACCAAAGAGATATATAGTAAGCATGAAAAAGGATATAGAAACCACAAAAGAGAAGTGAAGACTACAATAACTGAAATGAAGATTACATTACAGGGAATCACCAGTAGATTAGATGCAGCAGATGATTGAATCAGAGACTTGGAAGAGAAGGTAGCAGAAAACATCCAGTCATAACAGTTAAAAAGGAAAAAGAATCCAAAAAAATAAGGATAGTTTAGGGGACTCCTGGGACAACATCAAGCATAACAACATTTGCATCACAATTGTACCAGGAGAAGAGAGAAGGGCAAGGGATTGAGAACCTATTTAAAGAAATAATAACTGAAAACTTTCCTAACCTGGTGAAGGAAATAGACATACAAGTCCAAGAACCATAAAGAGTCCCAAGCAAGATGAACCCAAGCAGGCCCACACCAAGACACATCATAATTAAAATGCCAAAGTTTAAAAGACAGAGAGAATCCTAAAAGCAGAAAGAAAAACAACTAGTTACTTATAAGGGATAAGACGGTCAGCTGATATCTCAATAGAAACTTTGCAGGCCAGAGGGAAGTGGGACAAAATACTCAAAGTGATGAAAAGCAAGGACCTATAAACAGGACTACTCTATCCAGCAAGGCTATCATTTAAAATTGAAGGAGAGATAAAGAGCTTTCCACACATGAAAAAACTAAAGGAGTTCATCATCACTAACCCATGTTACAAGAAATGTTAAAGGGGCTTCTTTAAGTAGAAGGGGGGAATAGAAATAACACAAATATGAATAATAGAATGACAATAACTATGTAACTATCCATAATCACTTTAAATGTATGTGGATTAAATGCTCCAATCAAAAGACACACGGTAGGGCCAACTGAGTGGCGCATTGGTAAAGAGTTGGCTTGGGACACCAGCTCTGAGCAACAGGGCCCTGATTCGGATCCCACATGCGGGCCAGTGATGCTGCGCCCTCTACAGCTAAGATAGTGAACAACAGCTCGACCTGGAGCTGGGCTGCCATGAGTTGCCAGTGATGGCATAAGTTGTAGTGGAGCTGCAGTGGGCTTCCATAAGCTACCGTGAGCTGGCAAGAGCCACCATGAGCAGCCGTCCAGTGGCCGGCAACCGATCTGCCTCAGCTGGGAGCAGTGCAGTGATAATACCAACATGGGCCAGTGAAGCGACGTCCTCCACAACTAGACTGAAGAACAAAAGGACAGCAGCTTGTCTGTTTCCCTTCCCCATTTCCCAACGCTGTTCCCTTCCCCCAAGTCCCCAGTAAAATCTTAAAAAAACCCAATAACACAGGGTAGCTGAATGGATAAGAAAACAAGACCCAAATATATGTTGCCTCCAAGAAACTCACTTCAGATTGAAAGACACATATAGACTGAAAAAAAAAAGGGATGGAAAATTATATTTAATGCAAATGCAAACCAAAAAAGCTAAGGTAGCAATATTATATTAGACAAAATAGACTTTAAAACAAATATTATAAGAGACAAAGAAGACCATTACATATTGATAAAGGGATCAATTCAACAAGAGGACATAACCCTAGTAAATATCTATGCACCCAACATAGGAGTACCTAAACATATAAAGGAGATATTAACAGACATAAAAGATGATATTGACAATAATAGTCTTAGTGGAAGACTAACACCCTATTGACA